TAAAGGACCCACCTAAAGGAAATCCAATGGATCCCCGTCTAGTCAAGCTCATCAAAGCTCCAAGAGCCACGTCATCAAAAAGTAGACAGCACCATCCCAAGAGCCTCATCCACCACCTTGGAGTAAGGAACACTGAAGTCAACTACGTCATCCAAAGACCTGGTCTTCAGGAGAGCCCCACAACATCTTCATTCGTTGCGAAGATGATGTCACATTTACCAATTTAGTTTTTTAATTACTGATAAGTCACTTCAATATGTTAGGAGGCGACTATAAAATGTGAGCCTCATTTACACATGGGGGGCATCTCACACAAGTATCACATTTGGCATCACTCTCATATCTTTCACATCTTGTACCTCACCTAAGCTCTCATTAATCTCACCTGAGCTCTCATTGCTCTCACCTAATATCCTTACACTCCTATAACAATAAAACACTCAGGTCATCCTAACCCTTCATAGTGGAGTAGATTACCTTGACCGAACCACTTAAATTGTGTGTTGCATGTGTTGAATTTTTTTCTCTCTATTTTATTATCTGCATTAATTACTTGACAGATGATGTGTAAAATCAATTTGTGCATCATCAAAAATATTTAATTTAAACAGCCATAAGATGTGGTACCAACCTTAAGGTTGTTTTCTTTTAACAATGGCATGGTAACCTGGTATTGGGTTGATCAAATCAAATAGCCAAATCACGTGAGAGCTAGTGTTCATGTTTTTAATTAGAAACGCCCAAAAATTAGGTGCGCAGCCCATTGAAGGACTTTAATCTGAGTATGGAGAGAGAGAGATTGTAGTGTGCTTTTATAGACAAAGCATGGTAATGAATTCAGTGTTGTCCTCCAAAGTATGGCCAATATTCTAATGCACTTTTTCTTTACAGTATTATTATGTATGCATCTTCTTTTCTGCTTGACTTCTTTTAGCAGCATGTTTTCATCAGATTCTGCATATTAGAAGTTAGCAACACACATAAATATTTATAGCCAATGACAAGGACTACGCTAGTCGTATAACGGTGAAAACTACCTTGGTCAGGTCAGGTGGCCCTATCCTTGATTCAAGCCTTTAATTTACCTTCAAATTGACGAATGTGAGGGTATTGCCCACGTGATGGACCATATGTATCTGAAGGAAAAACAAATAGAAGATGAAAGGGCACTGGCTTCTGTTTATTCTTGTCCAGAACTAGAAGCCAATCGCCCTCAAGTGACCAGACCTTACATGGTCCCCTTAACAAAAGCAATATGAGAGAGTACCTTTCATTCACAAATTGACAAATTCTCTTTTGCTTTTTTACCACATTCTTGGGATTGCTAGCCAAGCCGGTATTACTTAGACCATTTTTTGTCGAGCAATGTTATTATAATTTGTTGATCTAATTGATTATGATCTTTAGCTTGACGATAAACTCTATCGAATATTGAAATTTGACGTTAATTTAATGATTTTAATAAAATTACATCATTAAGTCAAATTCTTAAGTTTAAAGAGTATTACTCTTTATCGTTGGCATTGAAAAACTCAAGCTTTCAACTATTTTGCTAAGTGTTTTCATATAACAAAGGATTTGGAGTAAATACATATGACCCTCAAATTATGACTTTTGTATCAATTAAGTCTCGAAACTTTTTTGTGCAAATTAAGTACTTGAACTCTCTAATTGTGTAAATTAAACAATTATGTTTGCTTGCTGTTGTTTAGCTTTTCTAATGAAAAAGTGGCAAAATATATCACTCGTAGGATAAATGGTTGGAATAAACTATACATACGACCCTCAAACTATGATCCTTATATTAATTAAGTCCTTTTTTTTTTTTTGTTAATTGAGTCATTGAATTCTCTAATTGCATCAATTGATCTCTTTTGTCTGTCTCCGTTAGAATGTGACACTCATGTGACTATATGACACAAAAAACAGCGCTAGTTGCGAAAAAGAAATTAAGCAATTTAGAAAAAGAAAAAAAAATATGAAAGAAGTTAGTTTGATCTTGATCCTTGTGATAGACTTGCAACTTCAATAAAGAAAGAACATAAGTGCCCAAAGTAATGAGAAAGTAACTTGTAACTTTATATTACTTGGAATGGCTCTCTCATATTGAGAAGCACAAAATTTAAAAAAATATAAACGAATATTCTACCTGTCTCCGTTAGAGTGTGTTATTCATGTGACTAAAAAAATTAACACAATTAAAAAGTTCAGGGATTCAATTAACCAACAAAAAAATTCAAGGATTTAATTGACACAAAAATCATAATTTAAAGACGATATGTGTAGTTTACTCATGGTTTTGGTTTGGCACGAGCACAAGTTAACAAAATCAAAATTTCTTTCTTTAGTTATGTTTTTTCAAAATTCGATAAAGTTTCTACTCTACCCAGCCTACCCAAATTCATCTTCGGCTTCAGCCAAGAAGTTGCAATTAGTCGGTTGATGTAGGGTTCAAAATGCCATATTATTTTTGTTATTTGATTAATTCTTTCTGAGAATGAAATCCATCGGCTTCCATCTTTAACACTGCAGGCTACAATTGCATAAATTTTAGTTTACGAGTTTTACATTTGGTGCCTAATCTGAGTAAGATGAAAAAGCGGTAAGTATTCAGTTGTCGTAACAAATCCAAATCATTGGAGATACTGATGATTTGAGTTGATGTGCGAGGACCAAATCTCACGTTGTTTTCTACCTACAGATTTTAGTTGACTCGTTCTAAACATGTATGCCACCTGTCTCTATTGTTGGACCACTCAATTTGTTCTTTTGGCAGTCTTTACTCAGTAAATAAAATGAAATTCTTTGTTAAATGTCATAAAATAGCAATGGATGCAAGTTAATATGGCAGCAGGTTCCAGTTCTTGGAGCTGTATGCGTAGCCTTAGTATGAAAATAGCCGATTAATTACATCAAATATAAAACTAAGTGTTTAGCCAATTTGTCGGCTGTGGTTGTGAGGTCAATTCAAACAGAAGGTAAAGAAGAAAGACCATCTAACCCATGAGAGCAGTAGCAGAGAAGAGGGAATGGGGTGGTGTGAAAGCATTCATAATTAGACAACAGACATGGGATCATTAAAAGCCGCTATTGCCCACTTGCACCCCCAACTTGCTTCAAAACTGTCCTCTTCTCCCTTCAACAACACAACACAGCACCACACATTATGAGAGAGAGAGAGAGCAAGTTGCATATTCTTTATTCAAACATTTGGAGTGAGAAATAGAAAAAGCACAAAACAAATTTGCAAGTTGCAAGTTGCAAGTTGCAAGTTGCAAGTTGCAAGTTGTTTTTAACAGCTAGTTGGTACTATCCAGAAGTCCAAGTTGCAAGTAGCTGTTGATTCCCATCAAGTAATTGTTATTTTAATGCAACATGTTTGCCCACCCCCAACCCCATAACCTACCTTACCTCTGTTCAGTTGCACTTAACTCGTGTTAGTTGGACCTCTTTAGTGTTGATTCTCTGCATATCTTCGTTAAAAAATCTCACATGAAAATTTCTTGAGTATTATTTGTGGATGCAATTATAAATGAAATTTATTTCTAAATTGGAATTAATGGTATTTTTCCAACTTTAATTTGTTAACTTATTTTTACATGGTTTAAATCTACCCTTTCTGAAATAAAAGTACGATTGCAGCACTTTTAATAAAAACCCTTGATAAATATTTTTAAAAACACCCTTTTTAGAGAATGGTGATGGGTAGATAGTAATCTCTTTAGGTATGACCATGATAATCCCCTCACTATAGAATGTTCAATTTGAACCATAAATATTAAATACTAAACCAGAAGGACAATTCATCAACATAATACCACTAAAGTCAAGTAAAAAAATATGTTGCTTCTGTGAATTGAACCCTATTTAATAACCACATAGAGGTCAACGATGATCTTAAACGGGTAAGGCTTACCGCTAAACCACCACTCAAGTGGTTATCAAGGAGTGTAAGTTCAAAAAAGAAAACACTTAATTTCATGAAGATTATGATATTTTGGATATTACCTAGAAACTAAAAAAGAAGAATAAAATTATCAAATCACGATAATTTGGTTTAAAAAAAAAAAACTCATTATATATGTACATGCATGCACCCAATCTTAAGGATTTTTTTAAAATTATTTTTTTGTCACATCCCCAGATAATCACAACCCAAAAAATATTCTGTACTGCATACATATATAGAACTACCCTCAGGTTTACATGCATTGTTATTTTCTGTGACCTATTCCAGTTTTAATAGGAAACTGCTTTTTTCTTGAGAAATCTGGATTTGGACAAGGAGTCAAGAAGAAAATATAGTATGTTTATAATTAATGGAGTTTTTTTTACGTAAAGCAAGTGCTTTTTATAATATTCCTGACTCTTTCAAAGTGGAGAAACATAAACATAAATATAAACAAAGTTGTCCCCATGTTAAGCGAAGATTCCATGCTGTTCATTGATTTGAACTTGTTTACGAGGTTATTTATTTATTACCCACCGGTTCACTTAACCACTGATTTAACTAATAACAGACAAATTATTAGTATTAATTATTCAATTCGTACATACACAGAATATTATCGTTGTTGTGAAAAATCGTGATTAATGTTTTTTTTTCCACCGCCGCCTTAGCCACTTGCACAAAGAAGGTCGCCCATTTTCAAGAGGAACGTAAATAATATAAAATGAATTTAGCAAAAAAAAAAATTAAACTTGAGAAGTTGTTGTATGACATTATTATTTATTTCTCACAAAATAAATACATAAAAGAAAAAGAAATGAAAATAAGAAATAATACATTAACCAGCTGCGATGAAACAATGGCAAACAAATCTCCGGTGAGTGCATTTATCTAACACGAGAATAGCCTGCCGGAGCGATCAAGCCATCAGAGAGTTTATACATTAATGATTTTCACTATCAAATCAAAACCCACATCAAATAATCACCACACACGATCGGTATTAATTGCTTCCTCTGTGACTGTGTGATTGCTTCTTGTTAATTTATGTTCATGGACAGTTTCGTCTGGCCAAGTTCTCTGCAGTCTCAGCTAGTGATTGTAGGTTGCATCGGACAATGGTGTCGACGAACACCATAGTTTCTTCTTTAGTGTTGCCGACCGGTATGTCAACCACGTATGACTCGGCGACAACTGTCCCATTTCCCGCCGGAGTTGGGTGTAAGGTTGTGACCGACCGGTAATTCGCTAGGCGGTGGTCCCCACCGACGACGCTGAAGCTGATGACATGACTTTCGTCGTCGAGAATTTCGAGGCGCTCGGTGCTGTTGGCTGCAGGGAGGCCTGAGATGACGTGGACTTCACGAAGGGTGCCAACGTGACCATCGCCGTTAATCACGTGGCAGCTCTTGACGAAGTGCTTGTAGGCTTGGGGGTTGTCGAAGCAGCGGACGACGGACCACACAGTGGATACCGGGGCGGAGATTTGTTGGATCACGGCGGAGCAGCACTGGTTGGGTCCCATTGGATGGGTATGGTAGCTTGCCACAGCGTCTGGCACAGGGGTAGCACACGGTAGTGGTGTCTGCCGTTGGAGGCTGACGCTGGGCTGCTGTTGAGGGGATTGTTTGTAGGTGGTGGAATTTGTGGTTGTATTGTTGATTCTGTGAAGCAAAAGAGACGATTTTGGTAGATTTGAAGGCATTTTTTGATGGGTTTTGATTCTGTTTTGGAGAGAGAAAGAGAAAGAGAAAAGAAAGATTGGTTTTTGATGGGTTTGTTGGTTGATAATTGTGGGTGTGTATATATTGAGAGAGGGTGAGAGAAAAGGGTGGAGTTGGGTTAGTCGCTATCCAACTTTCTTTAAAGGTGGCGGAGGGTGTGACTGATCTTTGCAGTGGACGATGCTAAGTAGAGACAGAAGGGTTAGTTGGACTTTGAAACGATGAAGATGTGTTAATGGAAGTTCATGTGAGGGTAATAAAATAAGGCCAACTTGGTTTCCTTCTGAAGTTACAAAATTAACCCTGTTCTGCAAGTATAGCAAAATTACATATTTGCCCTCAAGGAAACTTGCTAAGGTTGGGGTTGGGCTGATTAAGCTCAATCCTGTTTCTTTTATGCTATTATATTCTTATATATGACTTTGACCTGTAATTCTAATCAAGTTTTAGCAGATGTAGATTTGTGTTCTTTCATATTAATCAAATTCTATACTTAAAACCCTTAGGGCTTATTTGGATGAATTTTAGGTAAGGATTTGAATTAACTTCTTCAAACCCTTTCAAACTCAAATCTCTCAAGATGAGATTTAACATCAATCCAGTTCATACTCATGTTTAATATACAATACATACACATGTATGACCCACAGATATATCATAATTATTAATAATTATTTATTCTATAAATGATTATTTTAACCTTGATCAATCTAATTTATATTCATGTTAAAGGATATAATTGTCTTTTGGATCTTTAACCCCTTACCTATCTTCGCAAACTCACCCCTCATAGGTTTGACAAAACTCATGATCATAGGGTTTAATCTTTGGGTCAGATATGGGCCAAGTTTGAAATTTGGGATTGAATTTTTTATACAAACATGAGATTTGAGAGAACTTTGAATTATTTTTCCCAAACCTATCTTGCCAAACCCCCCAAACCCCTTTATCAAACAACCCCTTAATGGTGAAAGCCTGACTTCTGATAATATAAAGATCTCATGTATAATCCTGTCTCATACCTCCTAAATATCGGTCACTCTTATCCTTTTAAGGACATGTTCTAACTCAACTCAAATCACGATTTTGTAGCAAAATAGATAAATAAATAATTCAACACTTCAGTTGTAAAAAGACTTATATAGAGCATCAACAATAAATCTTGATTTTCTACTTAAATGTCACAATAAAAAGGTTCATCACTTGTTGATGTAAATGTTGGCGGGCTAACTTTGAAGGTCATACTCTTACAAATTGAATCCTTGCACAAAATGTTTAGGGGAGGTTCCCACCAATAACCTTAACTAGCCTAAAGTACTGTCCTTGGCTCTTATGTTTGTCAATGTTCGTAGTTGTGGTTATTGTCATTTGTCAAACATCTCATTGTATTTGAAGGTTGCCTAAAACAAATCTTAAAAGCAGCAAAAACCAAAAAAAAAAATTGTTAACACCAACATGGGCTTGGAAATTTATCAACAAAATGGCAGTACATGTTTGTCACTTCAAACATTGGAATAAATATTATCCCTACTTGCCAAAAAGACTCTATTACCAATATATCTCATTTATCAAACTTATTTACCGATTTACTGTTGTTTTCAACTTATTTACCAAACTACCGCTGTTTTAAAAGCGGATTTGGCAATCCGACTTCATGGAAAAGCGGATTTGGCAAATCCGACTTCATTTGGAAAGCGAATTTGACAAATCTAACTTCAATTGAAAAACGGATTTGATAAATTCGACTTCATAGAGAAAATGGACATACCAAATCCGTCTTTATATGAAAAGCGGACATACCAAATTCGCCTTTATATGGAAAGCAAACTTACCAAGGTGCAAGTCTTTATATGTATAATTGTGTTGATCGTCAAAAAAATATTTGACTATTTATTGAATATGTTTGGTTTCTTTAATTTTATATTCTTTGTGTATAAATTACTCACATTTATTAGTCGTTAAATATCCACTAATAGATTCTATCTAAATTTATTAGTTATAACCCGTACTTGAAGGCACGATAAAATATAAAATTCGAGCATCCAAAAAATCGATCTCACTATATTAAATTTTTTCAAAATATATTAATTACAAAGTAATCAAATATTAAATAATTAAATATATGATAAAAATGAGTGATTTATTTTTTAGGGAGAAAATATATAAAATCAAGAATTTCGGGTGGTATCCCAGTAAAAAATTAGATGAAATATTAAAAGTTACTAGTTAAAACAAAAAACAGATTTGGTATGTCTGTTTTCTAAATGAAGTCAGATTTGGTATGTTCACTTTTCCTATAAAGTTGGATTTGTTAAATTCGATTTCCAAATAAAGTCGGATTTTTCAAATTCGTTTTGTCCATGAAGTCGGATTTGTCAAATTTGCTTTTAAAACAGCGGTAGTTTGGTAAATAAGTTGAAAACGGTAGTAGATTAATAAATAAGTTTGATAAATGTGATAGATTGGTAATAGATTCCTCGCCAAAGTGGTGGCAACATGGTAAAATTTTCAGACATGAGAGGGCAAATAGCTCAGCTTCCCCAAATATATTGGCAAATGGGTAATCAACTTGTAGAAAAGAGGGAAAGCTGGAAGATAAGATAAGCTTTCTCTCCTCCCACTGCATGCTCAGGTTCAAAAGTCACACAATTTGCACATCAACATTAAAAATGGGTTTGGTTTAAGAATTAGTAAGAACCGAATTAGATAAAGTCGTTCATCCCATATTTTTTTAACCATTAGCCTCGTTTGTTTTACTTTTTTCTCTGTTTTAATGTGAACCCTTTAGCCCATGATATCGACTCATATGATGTACGTCCTTATCTGAGCTTAAAAGAAACTACACGACATATATGTATGTGTGTGTGACATGGTCTTTTATGCTTTAGGACTAATCTGGGTACGTAGCTATTTGCCACTCCTTAGACTGGATTAGGAATTTAGGATAGTTTCCAATTGACTCTCGTGAACCCTTTTGCCTTCACCATCATAGACCCTTCGAATCATGTGCAGTTTTGACCATTACTCAGTATCATTGAATACATTGCATTTCCCTAACCAAAAAACAAAAAAAAAAATCGCATTGCATTTTCACGTGTTGGCTGGCTGGCCATGTACAACTAGCTCCATGTCTTGCTCCATTAAGCCTATTCAAACGCGTTTCCACCCCCACCTCATCCCATATTTTGGAAGGTAGAATGTCAATTTAAGTAACGTTGTTGTAAATTTTAGATTGACTTTAGATTTCATCAAATATTAAAATTTGGGGTTGACCAATGATTTTTATGAAATCACGTCATTATATAATAAATTAGGTGAAAATTTTAAATTCAAAAAGGATTAATCAATTCACCCACAATGGATAAGTTCCATGGTTTTCATTATTCTTGTGTCTGAACAATTACATTATTATTTTCTGACTCTTTTATTCCTTAACTGGTAATGTCCTCAAGAGGCAAGACAATGGAGCAAATTAGTCACAATAATTATTGCCACAGAATAGAACTAATGTTCATGGACACACAGATTTTTCATCTATTTTTTTTTTTTGAATTAATTATATTGGAGGTTCCTAAAATATAGATTTTATCATATTTTAGTCCATAATATTTTAATTTCATTATTTTGGTATCTAAAAAATTTAATATATTTCTATGTGGTTCCTCAAATACACAATATTCAAATTACTAATAGTTTTTTTATTATAAACTTGTCAGGTAATACTTAAATATGGGCAACAAAATAATTTGGGTAGTTTCTGACCAAAATTTGGTAACTCTTGATCAAAATTTGCATAGCTCATAACCAAAAGTATGGGTGACTATTTGGCCAGGTAAAAATTTGATCAAGAGCTATCTAAATTAATTTTTTACTCATATTTACATATTACGTGACAAGTTTATAATTAAAAATTGTTAACAATGTTGACGTTGTCTTCTTAAGGAACCATATAAAAATAAATTCAAGGATTAAAACGATGAAATTGAATTATTAGGGACTAAAAATAGACAAATCATATACTTTAAAGATCTTTAGTACATTTACCTCGGTTTTTTTGCAGAGTTTCAAAGTTTATGGCTCCAAAATATTATGGGTAATTGCACCAATGGTCTATGAGGTTTGCCACTTATTACACTTTCATTCCTAAAATTTTAATTTCATCAATTTCGTCCTTCATATTAATACATTGACTCACTTTGATCCATATCCCTAACTACCGTCTAAATAATAAACGAAAAATGTAATGTGCATGTCACATGCAACTTTTGAGTGATATTTCTGACATTTTACAACTATTTATGCACCCATATATAATTATCCTTTATGGTCTCGTTTGGATTGTATTATTTTTTATTTAATCGAGTCTAATACTTTATTTGGTAAGTAAATTTGATAACGTATTAATTTTAAAAAATGTATATTTATTGTATATTTTTTATATGATAAACCTATATTATGGAGGTATTTTAATACCATCAAAAAAGTGGTATTATAATACAACTCAAATGTATTAGTCTACACATTTACTATTATAACCTCCCAATTAATAAAACCAAGTTGTCATCAATGTAACAAAATTGATTGAGAGTATTTTTGTTAATTCAACATTAATACGACGAAATAATTCTATAACCAAACAACCGATTGAATTAAATGACTACTATCTAATATTTTATATTTGTGTATTGTCAAACACTAGATAAAATTATGTATTATTCTAATACTTTATTTAATCTTGTCTTTTATTCATTTGTATTATATTAAATTGTATTCTTTATTCAATCCACTCATTTCTAATATGACAACCAAATGAGTCTCATGGACTGTTTGTTTGAAGTATTAGAGTGGTACAAATGGATGGTATTAGGGAAATAGTACGTAGGGTTCATCTTATATCTTGTTTGTTTGACATTTTATCATTGATACTAATTTCTGGATCGTAATACTGACCTGACATGAACAGTGACTTAAATGTCTTGTA